ATGGTATGATTTCAATATTCTTTAATTTATTGAGGCTTGTTTTATGGCCTAATATATGATCTATTCTGGAGCATGTTCTATGTGTACTTGAAAAGGATGTGTGTTTTGTTTTGTTTGATAGAATGTTCTCTATGCATCTGTTATGCCCATCTGGTGTAATACATTACTCAAAGATACTATTTCCTTATTGATTTTCTACATTGAAAATGCAGAAAATTGATGAAAGGGCTATGTTAAAGTCTTTACTATTATTGTATTGTTATCAATTTCTCTATTCCATTAATATTTGCTTTATAAATTTAGGTGCTCCTTTTTTAGGTGCATAGATATTTATAATTGTTATACCTTTTGCTCGATTGATCCCTTTATCATCATGTAATGACTTTCTTTGTCTCTTGTCACAGTCTTTTTTTCAAAGTCTATTTTGCCTAATATGAGCATTGCTACCCCATTTGTTGTTGTTGCTGTTGTCTTGCTTCCATTAGCATACTGAACATCTTTCTATCTCTTGTCTTGTAGACTACATGTGTCTTTAGGTCTAAGATGAGTGTCTTGCAGGCAGCATACAATTTTTTTTTTAACTCATTCTACCACCCTGTGTCTTTTGATTGGAACATTTAGGTCATTTACTTCTAAAATATTGATAGGTTTGTATGTATTGCCATTTTGTTCATTGCTTTCTCATTGTTTTGTATTTTTTCTCTGTTCCTTTTTCTTCTGCTCTTTTACACTATAACTGATGAGTTTCTGAAGTGTTATATTTGGCTCTTTCCTTTCATTTTTTTGTCCTTTTAGTATGACTTTGAGGTTTGTGACTACCATGAGGTTCATATATGCCATCTTAAGTATATAACATTCTATATTAAGTTGATGGTCATTCAAGTTCAAACACATTTTCTTAATTCCTTTTTACTTCCTCCATATTTTATGTATATGTGCCATATTTCATATCTTTTTACTTACAATTTTCTTATATCTAATTATCTTACAATTTTCTTATATCTAATCTTATATCTAATTAAATGTATCTAATTTTCTTATATGTAATAATAAGATATAAATATCGTATATCTTATATCTAATTATATATTTGCTTATATAACAAATTTGTTATCCAGTCATCTGCCAATGGACACTTAGGTTGTTTCCATGTCTTGGCTATTGTATACAGTGCTAGTATGCACATGGAGGAGCAAATATCTTCTAGAGTTATTGTTCCATTTTCTTTAGACAAATCCCCAGAAGTGAAATTACTGCAACATATAGTAGGGATATTTTTAATTTTTTCAAGATCTTATATAGTTTTCCATAGTGGTTATACCAGCTTACAAGCTCACCAACAATAAACAAGGGTCACTTTTCTTCACACCCATACTAATATTTGTTATCCATTGTCTTTTTTGTAATTATTATTTCAACAATAATGAGATCTCTTATTGGGGTTTTGATTTGTGTGTCTCTATACTGAGGTTGAGCTTCTTTTCTTGTACCTGTTGGCCTTTTGTATATCTTTGTTAGAAAAAATTTTATTCAGGTCCTTTTCTCTACTTTTAGTTAAGTGCGTGTGCGTGTGTGTGTGTGTTGGGTTGTAAGAGTTCTTTATATATTCTGGACATTTACTCCTTATCAGATATAAGATTTGCAAATATTTTCTCCCATTCCATAGGTTGCCTTTTCCTTTTGTGATTTATTTTACTGTGCAAAAGCATTTTAATTTGGTGTGTGCTCACTTATTTATTTTTTGTTATGTCTCTTGTGCTTTATGTGTCATATTTAAAAAAAAAAAACTATGGCAAGGAATTTTTTTTCTATTTTTTTCCTTCTAGGTGTTTTATGGTTTCAGATCTTACATTGAATTTTTTAATCCATTTGATTTAACTTTTGTCAGTGATAAAAGACAGGAGTCTATAGTTTCATACTATTACCTGAAAATATCCAATCTTCCCAGCATGATTTATTGAAGAAACTGTTACTTGTGTGTTAGTTTTTGGGCTCCCTCATCAAATATTAGTTTACTATATATGCATGGGTTTATTTTCTGGGTTCTCTATTCCATTCCATTGATGTAGTTACCTGTTTTTGCATAAATATCATACTGTTTTATTTAATGTGGCTTTATAGTATAGCTTCAAATCAGGAAGTATAATATCTCTTGCTCTATTCTTCTTCAAAATTGTTTTGGCAAGTCAGAGTCATTCGTGTTTCCAAATAAATTTTAAAATTGATTTTTCTGGGGCACCTGGGTGGCTCAGTGGGTTAAGCTGCTGCCTTTGGCTCAGGTCATGATCTCAGGGTCTTGGGATCGAGTCCCTAGTCTGGCTTTCTGCTCAGTAGGGAGCCTGCTTCTCACTGGCCCACCCCCCGCCTGCCTCTCTGCCTACTTGTGATCTCTGCCTCTCAAATAAATAAATAAATAAAATTGATTTCTCTACTTCTGTAAAAATGCCATTGAATTCTTGCAGGACTGCATTGAATCTATACTTGGCTTTTTGGTAGTATTGACATTACAAGAATATTAGTTCTTCTAAATCACAAACACAAGGTACCTTTCCATTTCTTTGTTTCTTACACTCTTATCAGTGTGTTATAATTTTTGGAGTAGAGATTTTTCACCTCCTTTGTTTTTTTCTTAAGTATTTAATTGTTTTGGTGATATTGTAAATAGAATCAGTCTTTTTCCAGATAATTCATCACTAGTGTATAGAAATATTACTGGTTTCTGTTGGTTAACTTTGTACCCTGAAACTTTACTGAATTTATGAGTTTTTTGGTGGAGTTTTTGTGATTTTCTTTATATAAAGTTATGTCATCTGCAAAGAGGAACATTTTACTTCTTCCTTTACAGTTCTGTTGGCTTTTGTTTCTTTTTCTTTCCTGATCAATCTGGCTAGAATTTTCAATACTTTGTCGAATAAGTGCAATGAGATAGTATCCTTTTTTCTTATGGTTGATCTTAGAGAAATAGCTCTCAACTCAGCCTTTCAAAATTGAGTATGGTGTTAGCTGTGCGCTTGTCATAGATAACCTTTATTATGTCAAGTCACATTCCCTGTATACCTAATTTGTCAAAAGTATTCATTATGTATATGCAATAAAGGGTTTACATCCAAAATATACAAAAAACTTATACAAGTCAGCACCAAAAAACAAAGCAGCAAATCAAAACAACAAAACAACAGAATCTGAGATCTATTCATCAATTGTCCATTCATGGGCAGAAAACATGAATAGGTATTTTTTTTTTCCAATGAAGACATGCAAATGGCCAATAAACACATGAAAAGATGTTCAACACCCCTAGGAATCATCAAGGAAATGCAAATCATAATCACAATGAGATATGATGTCACACCTATCAGAATGAGTAAAATCAGAAACACAAGAAATAACAAGTTTTGATGACGATGTGGAGAAAAAGGATCCGTCATAAACTGCTGGTCAGAATGCAAATTGGTACAACCAAAAACAATACCGAGTTTCCTCAAAAAGTGAAAAATATAGTTTCCCTACAATCCAGTAATTCTACTACTGAGTATTTACCCAAAGAAAATAAAAACACTAATTCAAAGAGATATGTCCACCCCTATTTTTATTGCAGCATTCTTTCGATTAGCCAAGATACAGAAGAAACCCAGTGTCAGTTGATAAATTAATGGATAAGGAAGATGTGATATACATACAATGGAATATTATGCAAACATAAAAAAGGATGAGATAGCATCATTTGTGACAACACGGATGGACCTAGAGTGTACCATGCTAAGTGAGATAAATCAGACTGAGAAAGACAACTACCATATGATTTCACTCACATCATCCAATATGTGGAATCTAAAGAAGAAAAAGGAATAAATAAATAAATAAAAACATGGAATCAGATCTATAAGTTGCTAGAAGGGAGGAGTGCAAGGGGATGGGCAAAATGGGTGAAAGGGAGTGGAAGACACAGGCTTTCCATTATGGAATGAATAAGTCATGGACATAAAAGACACAGCATAGGGAATATGGTCAATGATATTATAGTAGTGATGTATGGGGACAGATGGTGGTTACACTTGTGATGAGCACAGCATAATATATCAACTTGTCAACTGACTATGCTGTACATCTGAAACTAATGTAACACTGTCAACTATACTCAAAATTTTTTAAAAAGAGGTTTTCATCATTAACAGATATTGAATTTTGTCTAATACTTATTCCACTGGTAATGAAATGATCATATAAGTTTTTCTTTCATTGCATTATATATGTTGTATCACATTGATTGATTTGCATATATTAAACCATAATTGGATCCCAGGGATAAACTCAGCTTGATTATGGGACATGATCCTTTTAATGTGCTGCTGAATTCAATGTGCTAGCATTTTGCTGAGAATTTTTGCATCTATATTCAACAGGGTATTGGTCTGTCGTTCTCTTTTCTGGTGGTGTCCTTATCTGGAGTTTGTATTATGGTAATGCTACCTTGGATAAATGAGTTTGGGAGTGCTCCTTCCTCTGATATTTTGGGAAAAGTTTGAGGTTTTTTGTCATTTATTTTAAAAATGTTTGGTAAAATTTATCAGTGAAGACATCTAGTCCTAGGCTTTTCTTTTTTGGGAGATTTTTTATTACTGATTCACTCTCTGTAATAGTAATTAATTAATCTATTCAGGTTTTCTATGTCTTCCTGATTCAGTTTTGGCAGTTTGCATATTTCTAGATTTTTTTGCCATTTTATCTAGCTGTCCAGTTTGCTGGCATAAGTCACTCATAGTGCCAACAGTTAGTTTTAAATAATAACTTACCACAATCTCATGTTCTAAAAGTTTGCTAGAACAGGCCAGGATTGAAGAAATTAACATGAAAATGTCCAAAAAGGGATAGAGATAAAAGAAAAGTCAGTAAAAGCTTAGAAAAAATATTAATGAAGAAAGGGCAATTTTCTGAAATCAAAAATCACTTTTCTCTACCTCTTCTAGGTGGTATTCTAATTGATGGGTTGCTCCTTGCAGTTCCAGGTGGGCGCTGGATAGAAATGCCAATGGCGCCATCCCAGATGGCTTCATCCTCTTGGGCTTCTCAGATAACCCCAGGCTAGAAATGACCCTATTTGTAGCTGTGTCTGTCTTTTACACAGTAACCCTCATGGGCAACACCACCATCATACTCCTGTCTCACCTAGACCCTCACCTGCACACCCCCAAGTACTTCTTCCTCACCCACCTCTCCATCCTGGACCTCTGCTTTGCCACCAGCTGCATCCCCCAGATGCTGGTCAATTTCTGGGGCTCAGACAAGACCATCAGCTACCTGGGATGTGCAGTCCAGCTTTACATCTTCCTGGGACTCGGAGCTGCAGAGTGTGTCCTGCTGCTGGTCATGGCCTTTGATCACTATGTGGCAGTGTGTCGACCCCTGCACTATGCAGTAATCATGTGCCCAAGCCTGTGTCACAAGCTGGCATTCCTGGTCTGGGCAAGTGGAATTTTTGGCACCTTGGTACAGTCTCCCACCACCATGAAACTCCCCTTTTGCCACCACCACCAGTTTGATGACTTTGTCTGTGAGGTCCCTGCACTGATCCGTCTGGCCTGCGGAGACACGTATGTCAATGAGCACCAGATTTCAGTGATTGGTGCCATCTTCTTGATGGGGCCTCTTCTGCTCATCCTTGTCTCCTATGGCCACATCGCCCAGGCGGTGCTGGCCATCCAGTCCCAGCAGGGCAGAACCAAGGCCTTCCGCACCTGCTCTTCCCACCTGGCCGTTGTCTTTCTCTTCTACTGCAGTGTCACTGCTGTCTACATCCAACCCTGGAGTCACTTTTCCCAGAAGGGAGGCAAGTTCCTAACTCTTTTCTACACTGTGGTGACTCCCACTCTCAACCCCCTCGTCTACACTTTGAGGAACAAGGACATAAAGGGAGCTTTCAAGAGGCTCTTATGGAAAGACAGAATGGCCAGTGAAGAGTGAGAAAAGGGCTCAGACTCAAAGGGAGATCAGCTTCCTTTGCTCAAATGTGTGATTCTCATGCATGAGAACTCTGAACTATCACCTCTAGTGGAGGGGACATTAGCCTGCTTTGTACAGTGGACTAATGAAATGTACATTTGATGCACCTGACACTGTTATCTTTTTTTTTAAATATTTATTTATTTATTTATTTAACAGAGAGAGAGAGAGATCACAAGTAGGCAGAGAGGGAGGGAAAAGCAGGCTCCCTGCTGAGTGGAAAGCCTAATGCGGGGCTGGATCCCAGGACCCTGAGATCATGACCTGAGCTGAAGGCAGAGGCTTAACCAACTGAGCCACCCAGGTGCCCCCTGACTCTGTTATCTTTAAACAGAGATTCTGGAGCAACACTGGGCTTGTCAGGATGTAGACACCACTCTCATTATAAAAACAAAAATAGAGCATTTATTATGAGGAATTATTAACTAGATATTGAAGGAAGGAAAAAGCAAAAAGAAACACCCCCTACCACTAGGGGAACACAAAAAAAGAATAAATTTTTTTCAAACTTATGGCCCAGAGAAGAGGCCCCTGGGAGCATAAGTTTTCAGACTTCTACTTCTGAGACAGAAGCATTGCTGGCTGGGGCTGATGTCATTGAGGAAACACTGGTTTTGTTCACCACCTAGTGGAGAATCTTCATTCAACTGTTTTTTTTCCTAATATACTGCCCCTAGAGATGAAATGAACAGGAAAGAAACCAAACAAAAAGCAAAGAGGGAAGAACGCGTCTCCTTCCCAACACCAGCCTGCTTGCAGCCCACCTGCTTATATGAAGTCTCATAAGAAATGAGCAAGCGAAGCAGAAATATGGCATGCACACTCCCAGCATCACCCTCACCATGAAGCTGGTAATACAAGTGTGGGTTCAGAGCTGTAAATCACTGGCTTCATGTCTCATAACTCTTGACACCATGAAAGCAATCCAGAATACAAATCTAATCAAGAGGAAGGTACAGGCCTGGTTATCTTACAGATTATGCTTAGTATAATTCCCACAAATCACTTTCTGTTAAGCAAAAGCTCCATGTGTGAGCAGAATAAAGATAAGAAACTAATACAGGAGTTCTCATTCTTGAAATACCCTAAAGAAAATAATAATCTCAAAAAACTGTTACAATCTTATGGCTATAAAAACATTCTTACTGTGCCTGCTACACTGGATTTATTTTAAATGAAACATTGTATTTTGAGGTAATTGTAAATGCATATGCAACTGTAAGAATTAATAGATATCCCATAGACCCATTACCCAGTGTCCAGCAGTGGTAACATCTTGCAAAACTGTACTACAATGTAACAAGCATATTGACATTGATAAACAGAAAATACAGAGTATTTCCCCACACACAAGCATCCTTCTCACTGTCTTTGAAAGCCACACCTGCTTCTCTCCCACTCCAATCACACCTGTTTAAATCCTGGCATTAACCCATCTATGCTGTGTTTCTACATTTTGGCCAATTTGAGAATTTTATACAAATATAACTACATAAAAAGTAGCCTTTTGAGACTGGCATTTTTCATTCAGCAGAATTCTCTGGAAATGTATCAGTTGTTGTGTGTATCAATAGATTTTTTTTTTTTTGCTTGTTTTTGCTTTTAATTGCCAAAGAGTATTTGAGGGTATCGATGCTTCAGTTCATCTAATTCACTCACTGAAAGATTATGAGCTGTCTCCAGGTTGGGACTATCAGAATAAAGCTGCTATGAACATTTCTGAACAGGATTTGTATGATCATTAGAATTGTGTTTCTATGGGACAAATGCCAAAGAGTACAATTGCTGAATCATATAGTAAACACCTGTCTAATGTTGTAAGAAACTGCCATAAGCTTTCCAGGGGCAGCTGTAAAACTTACTTTTCCCACAAAAAACATGCGAGCAATCCAGTTTCTCTGCATCCTTGGAAGCATTTGGTGTTGTTGTTTTTTGTTTTTGTTTTTGTTTTTTAATTTTACCCATTCTGATAGATGCCTAAGAATATCTCACTGATTTTAATTTTAATTTCTCTAATGGCTATCAATGATGAACATTCTTCATCTTTCATCAGTGAATCGTCCTCAATAAATCTTATCTTTTGCCTGTTTTCTAATTGTTTTCTGTTGTTAAATTTGTGATTTCCTTGTATATTCTACAGGGAAGTTTCTTGTCAGACATATAGTTTGGAAATACCTGATCCTTATCTGTAGCTTGTTGTTGCTGGTGTTGTTGTTGTTTTTCCCAAGATTTTAACAAAGTCTTTCACACAGCAAACATTTTAATTTTTTTAAGATTTCATTTATTTATTTGAGAGAGAGCACACAGGGACAGAGTGAGAGGCAGAAGCAAGCTGAGCAAAGAGCTTGATGAGGGACTTGATCCCAGGAACCTGAGATCATGACCTGAGCCAAAGGCAGATGCTTAGCACACTGAGCCACCCAGCCACCACTAAAATTTGTTTAAAGATTTATTTATTTATCCTAGAGAGAGGGTTAGTGGACACAGGGGCAGAGAGAGAGAATCCTCAAGCAGACTCTGCACTGAGTGAGCCCAACTTGGGGTTTGATCTAATTTGAACCAATGAGATCATAACCTGAGCTGAAATGAAGAGTGGGACACCCAACTGACTGAGCCACCCAGGAGCCCCCAAATATTTTAAATATTAATGAAATCCAGCTTACCAAGTTTTCCTTTTATGGATCATGCATTTAGTGTCATATCTAAAATCTCTCCATGCTGTAGGTCCAAGCTATAGAAACTTTCTCCTATGTTGTTTCTTAAATTTTTATGGTTTTTCATTTTATTTTTAGGTAATCTCTACATCCAGCATGGGGCTTGAATGTACAACCCCAGAACAAGTGTTCATGTTCCACTGACCAAGCCAGCTGTGCATCCCATTTTTGTTGATTTTTACATGAAATGTAAGGTTGAGCAGAGGTTTATTTTCTTATTCAGCATGTGAATATCCAATTACTCCAGCATCATATGTTGAAAAGAGCTTCATGAGTTCCAAGACTGGGGGAGAGGAATGAATAAAAAACAAGGAAACTGAAGCCAGAGACCTCACCACAGTGTCATTCCTTGCATCCGGAGGCCCCCAGCTGGCCTCTTCTCTCTTCTTTCAGATGCTTCCTGATACTTGTTTTATATGCAATATGTAAGGTTTCAGTTGGAAAATTCGATCCATCTTCAGAGAAGACATTCCACCGGACTGTTTTTTTAGTTAAATGTTGATATAAATAAAGAAGTCAACAAAAGCATAACCTGCTAATGCAGTCCTCTCTATCGTGCAATAAAAGAGAACCATGTACTTGTCTGAGTACAGCTCAGCTGACCTATCCCTGCTTCCCAGGCAATTGCATGTATCTCTGGACCTGTAGCCTCCCTGCTCCAGTGTGGGATACACAGTATCAGCATCACCTGGAGCATGATATAAATGCAGAATCCCAGGTTCTAAGCCAAACCCACTAAGCCTGAATCTGTGTTTTATCCTGTTCCTAGATGATATACATGAGCAGATCAGCTTGGGAAGCACAGCTCCATGTATAATCACTCAGAAAGGGATTCCCCCTTATTAGAATTTGTCATGCAGACACTTGGCATGGCCTCAGGACCTACTGAATCATTCTCCATGCTTCGTCAGCTTCAGTCCTGGGAACTGCTCATTCATCTCAAGAGGCTTGAGGAGTACCAAACCACTTCAGTAATGGAATACATACATTTCTATTAGCCTATAATCTTCATGAGCAGAATTATTTGGTGCCCTTCCCTTTGCATTCTTCATCCCACTTTTTCCTCTGCCCACTTTCTTTTTCTTTCTTTCTTCTTAAACAGCTCATCATATTCTTTTCTAACTTTTCTGCTTCTGCCATTCCACACTCAGGGTACACAACTCTGTTTTATGTTCAACCTTAGATCTCATCTAAGTGAAGTCTTCCTTGAGGAAATGGAATAAATCTTTCAAATTTTACTTGATTCCTTGAACCCCAGTTATTCACTTTATATGTTTGATGCTGAAATTTCATTATCACTTATTTGATCTTTGAATGCATTTGCCTGGACCTATGACCATTTGGCTATTGATAAGTAATTTAGACCCTTTTATTGGTGAAAAAAGGCATGGATTTTCTGCACTAACTCTGCATTAGAGCATTTAGACCATACTAGTTTGCTAGGGCTGCCATAACAAATACCACCATCAGCTTAATGGGCAGCTTAAATGACAGAAAGTTATGTTGCCACAGTTTTAGAGGCTGCAAAGTCCAAAATAAATATGTCAGCAGGGTAGATTTCTCCTCAGGTCTCTCTCCTTGGCCTGTGGATAACTGTCTTCTCCTTGTGTGTGCATATGGTTTTCCCTCTTCGCATGTATGTGTCCTAACCTACTCTTCTTATAAGGACCCAATCAGACTGAATTATAACCTAGCCTAATGAGTGTTCTTTAACTTAATATCCTTTTTGAAGTCTCTATCTTTAAATACAGTCACCTTTTTGAGGTACTGGGGGTTGGGGTTTCAACATAGGAATTTAGGGTTGGGGGGATACAATTCAGTCCGCAACACAGAGCCATAGAAAACACAGCACAGTTCAAGTATATATTCTGATCAGACGGCTACTGATGGATATATCAGGGAAGATAATATCTCCTCAAGGGTTAGAATGCACATGTCTATTAAGAGAGTTCTAAGCAGTAATAAGTAAAGACACAGGACTGAAAACTGGCATGGTTGTCCAATCACACTCAAGCTACAAATATCTGTCTACCCCGGTTCAGGCACAGAGATCCCACCCCCTTGCACAGCTGGTCACCCAATGTCACGCAGTACTCCATTATTATGGAGATGAAGAATGTGATGAGAACCTGCAGTCTTATCCCAATAATAGGATAGTCCTCATTTCTCAGACACACTTAGAGCTGAAAGAGACTTAATGGTACCTCTTGCATGACGGGCATTATTCTAAGTGCTTTACAGATATTA